TAAAGGGTGGACCATTCGTCGTAGATTACACTGACGACCTCAAATTAGATAAAAAAAGATGAGGGGATTAGAGTTTAAGAAGCTGAGAGAGAGAGGGTATGAAGTTTAGGAAGTCGATAGAGACGACTATGAAGTTTTTGCTTCGAGAGAGAGGTTAAAGAAAGAAATGAGAAATAAGAGAAGGGTACAAAAATAATTTCACTTCCATATTTTGTCATAAAAAAAACTTTGAAAAACTTATTTATAATCTATAATCTATGATTATATATAAAAGTACCGAGGTGGAAGGAATTTTTTTAAATGTCATGTATACCCTTTGTGCTCGACAATTTTTTTTTCATTAATTTGTTTTTTTTCATTGTTTAATACTTCTAAGGTTATAAACATTGCGGGCAAGTGCTTTCATTAATTTTTTTTACTTTTTTTTTTTGTTTTAATAGAATATTAAACTTGTGATTTCATTTTTTTGTTTCACTTTTTTTTTCTTTTTTAACATTGCTTTCATTATTATTTTTTTTACTTTTTGTTTAATTATAGAATATTATAAAAGGTGTAGAATATCAAAAGCAAATCTATAAAAGAAAAAAAAATCATTCTTAATCACCTTTTATTGTCCATACTCACTATTCTATCCACCCTACATCATTTATTAAAAAACTTAATTTAAAAGTTTTTCATTTTCCCCCAAAACACAAAAAATATTTTGACATTAAAAACACTCAAAGCGTGCAATTTTTGATTTAGTTAAATTTTTTACTTTTTTTTTTAATTTTAATTTTAACATTCCTATATAATTAAACACGTTTAATTGGTTTGTCTCTTGAAATTCTATTTACATTCATTTTGGATGTGAAAAATTCTCTCATCATTATTTAATAGTGTTTGTCTCTCAAAATTCTATTAGCATTGATTTTTCCGTATGAAAGACTTTCACATCATTATTTAATAATGTTTAATTATAAATATTAAAAGGGTGGGATCTCAAAAGTTTTAAAACTTCGTCATCCATTTCAACTAAAAAAGGATCTCTTCCATTCATTTCTAACATAATAATTTGAGGTTGGTTTTTTTCTTCTTCTTCTACTTTTATTTTTATTATTGTTGTTTTTACTTTTCTCTCTCATGCTTTTTAATTCGTAAGATTTTTTAATTTTGAAATTGCAGTAGATCACATTCAAATTTCTCATAGCAACTTTGTTTTATAGTCTTGAATATTGGTGAAAGGTAAATATACGTACACACAATTCATTAGAATGTCACAATTGATTATGTTAAATATTCAAAATTTTGTTTATTATAAATATGTTTATTTTGAGCAAAATAGTAATAATGTTTTTTTTACCAAAGAGTAATAATGTTTTTAAACCTCTTTAGCATTCTTTCTCGATATTCTCACACCCGGCTACATTTCACTTAATAATATACATGTATGGTTATTGATTATATGAAAAAAATTTCCATTAATAGTGTTTGATTAAAGAATATTAAAAAATTTTAGAATCTCAACATTTTTAAAACTAAAAATTTCTTCATTCCTTCCRACTATAAAAGACTCTCCACCCTACGTCATTTAATTTATTTATAAAAACTCATACAAAAGTTTTTCATTTTCCCTTAAAACATAAAAGTATTTTGATATTAAAAATAAACTTCTCAAACTTCSTACTTGTCGACAAATTTTGATTTCATTTAATTTTTTACCCTTTTTTAACACTTCTATATAATTAAACATGTTTTAATTGGTCTTTTGAAATTCTAGTTTTTAAGAAATGTCCCATTATTTGAAAAATCTTGGGTATTAAAATAACCATTTACCAAATTTATACTAAACAAGGTTAAAGAAATAAAGGTAGGTTTGGTATGCAAATTCTGAATGAATGTTGGGTAAATTTGCTTTTAAAAATTGTTTTTGAATTATATGATACAAATATGCATTGTAAAAACATATGTTTTCGGTTATTAATTTATTAATTTGAAATTTTAAAATGTAGAATTATATAAACAAAAAATATAAAAAATTTGAAATATATATTGCTTTTTACGTTATAAACTTGTTCTGCTTTTTTTTTTTCAATTAAAACATGTATTAATAAAACATAATATATTATAAAATATATAATATTATAAAATAATAATTATACAAAATTTTCAACCTCCCAATCTAATTTTTTACAGGCCGATCTTTAACTCAAGCATAAAAAATGCTTAAAAAATAATCAAAGAAGTAAATAAATCCTTTATAAAAAAAAAAGTAAATAAATCCTTAAAAATCTAACCTTTTCAGTTTTTTTTTCAGTAAAAATTGTAAACAGCCAATCCGAAGCATCCAAATAAATTTAAATATCCAAGATAGTTGAGTTGGATAAAATCCATTATTTAACAAAGGTGGCTTCAATTGATTACCAAATGTATCATAAATCATGGATATGGTGAAAGGTGTAATAATTTCATTTGACGAAGCGAGCATATAACAGTAATTGATACCGACCTAGAAGTTATGACTTCCCCAACCAAATTGAATTAAACATGTCTAAATTTTCAGTTTTGTATTCTTCTTACATCTTACGAAACACTCTTGGTCAATGTACTTTAATTTAAATGACGGTTTAGTCCATAAACTTCAGTTTGTAACGATTTAGTTACTGTACTTTCAAATTTGTAACAAGTTAGTCCATGAACTTTAGTAGGTAACAATTTAGTTACTGTAGTTTAATGTTGCTAACAATTTACTTGCTATCGTAAAATTTTTTCTTAAGTTTTTTATATATGTAAATCAATAAATTGATGAGACGCTAAATGTATTTATAAATTACAAATGCTAAATTGTTACATGACAAAAATAGACATTTGATTTCGATGAGATTTTCCATGGTAGAAGATCTAAATTGTTAAAAATTTTAAAATGCTAGTAAAAAAACCTGTGATGCACATAAAATTTATAGTTTTATTTTAAAGTATAAATAAAATATTTCAAAATAATAAATTAGTAAAAAAATTAAAATTTAATTTATTTTTTAAAAGTAGATGTCATTAATTTTAATATTTTATTCTCATCTATGTTATATTTTTAAAAATTAATTTTACATAATATGAAAAAAAAATTCATGCAAAATTTAATTCAACATATAATAATATGTTACGTGAATGTTAAACTATACACTATATTCCTTCTATGCTATGTCTAACTTCAGATATTTACTTGTTACATATTATATGTGATAATTTTACACTTTTTTTTAAATAAAGCACCCCATTCATTATAATATCATTTATATTATAATTATAATTTAAAATTATTTATAAATAAATAAATTATACAATATATTATTGAAATAACATAATATATTATTAATGACATTAAAAAATCATTTTCACTCAAACTTTTACCATCTACATCACAATTCCAAAATTTACAAAATTAGCTAGTTGAATCGTCCAAACGAACAAATCGCATAAAGTCCTCTTAAGTTGTTTGAGTCTTTAACAATCACCCTCTCCTGTAAAATTCATTCAGGAGAAAACTGAACATCTCGGCGGCGGGTAAGGAGTCAACTAAGCATCTCAGCAGTGGGATCGAATACTCGGATTGAATTAGAGTTCACACCGATTGGAACAAAGCTAAGAGAGAATGCAGCGGAATGAGGAAAAGGACAAGACTAAACTCGTTGGCTCACACTCTATTCGGTTGGAACTCGATTCGAAAACCTCAACGTCCTCGTTGAGAGTTGCTCTTCGGGACGTCATTACTCGTTTAACTTGGCAGGCAAGTAAGTAATTTTACCTCAAATTTTCATCCAGGACATTTAACAAAAAGGAGGACTCGATGGAAAAGGAGAATTCCCACTACCTATTCTTCATTTTGTAGAGAAAATTAAATGAATAAATAAAAATAAAATGAAAAACAGTTGGAATGAATTGCTACTTTATTAGTTTTTAACGCTAGCCACGGATTAACCTACTATTCACATCCTCGTCGTCCCAATTCCTCTCATGCTCTTCTCCTCTACCAAATCGCTTCCATCCGTCACTGCAAACGACGGCTCCAACAAGGCAACCCAATCAATTGACATTTCAATCCCACGCAATTTTCACTAATTTATATAATTTGTTATATGAAGGAGGCTTCATCCTTGTCGAGTTCCATTGATGATTTTTCGAAAGCTGACATGTGAGTTGGTAAATTGCGGCGCATATAGTATTTGCTAAATGGATCATTGCATAATGGACCTTCATCAAAATTAAGAGAACACTTTGAGAAAATCGTAGTAGAAGATAGATTAGCAATTGCGATGATTATTATTGAATTGGTGGATGAGGGACTTTCCATGGGATGGACTCTAAAATAGTGGATTCATATCAAATTTATAAGCCTCGAGAGTTATATAGAAAGGAGAAAGAGAGGTAGTGAAAATCTTTCAATTTCCGTAAGTAAATACCCAATTAAATAAATGATAAAATATTGCATATTAAACATTTTAAATACAAAATTAAGTGAAATAGAAATTGAAAAGACAACAAAAAAAAGTTATTTGAGTAGGTTAAAAATATAATGAGATGATTAAGAGAGAGTTTTTTAGAGCGAGAAAAGCGATGATAAAAGTATTTTGAAATAAAATAAAAATAAATAAGAGAAGAGAAGAGAGATTGAGAAGTTGTGTGATAGTGGGATAGAGTAGGAGAGATAAATTTATATTTGGAGGACAAAACTGCCACTAAAATAATAGTGAAAATATTTAATTCAAAATGACAAAATAGGGAGAAAATTTATATATATAGCAACTTTTATATATAATATAGATGTAGATAAGAATTAAATTGTTTCTAATTTAAAAATAAAAGTAAACTAAATCATTATTTAAATAAAGGAACAGACCACATGTATTTTTTTATCATTATTTATTTTTAGATCGATCTGACACAACTCAACTCAATTCCTGAACATTATTAGATAACAAAAATATTTAATACAAAATAAAATAATTATCAAACGAAACCCTAACTCACTCAGCCAACCAAACTTGGCAGTGGTACAACACAACCATGGTTAGAAAGTGAAGAGTGAAGTAAGCCAATCCCGAGATTCTGCGGCGGAAGACCCAATTTCTCCTCTCCTTCAATCGACGGTTCTATAAATGATCCTCTGATTATCTCCGGCCACCGTCTCTCTGCGCTTCTCCACCTTCAGAAGCGCGGTAGAGAGAGATTTCGCATTGCTGCCTCCGCATTTGTGCCTTCATTTCTCCTCAGCAACATCATTTTTCCGCAGGTTCGACTCTGTTTTATCCAATGTTCCTTTCCGAGTTCTGTAGATCTAGCAATTTTGATTTTCATTTTTGAGCTCTTTGGTGCTTTTGACGCCATCGTAGTTCGTGTGGTTTGATTGCTTTTAAGATTTAGGAGCGAGGGATGAATTCGTTTTGCATGTGAGGTTTCGTAGCTTTCAATTGGTTAGAAATGTTTCCGTGAGGCTCATACTCCTTATGCTTGCTTTTCATCGTTTTTCTCGAAAATTGGACATTTTCTTTCTTGGGGGTGCGGTAAGAGTTGCAAAGATGAAAAATGTTTCTTAGGTAGATTAGTGAAAGAAATGTTAACAATAGAAAGAGCAAAATGAAGTTTTTTTTTTTTTTTTTTGAAAAAGTAATAATTTAATCTATTTTTTGGGGACAAAGTAAGCCAATTATAGATGGGTCCAAAGGTAAAATAATTTATATAAAGGGTAATTAAAAATTTAGATCTCTCAAAAAATCTATAGGTTGGGTTGGGTTCAAATAAATAAATAAAAATCTGTATGAGTTTAATTGTTTTCTGAATCTCTTAAAATTGATTAGTTTGGGTTTGACTGAATTTTTACTTAATAAATGGATATATTTATATTTTTCTTCAATTTTATTTTATAATTATTTTTAGATGTTTAATGTTTTACTCCCTAAATTACTTGGAGTTTAAATTTTCATAAAGTAATATTTGTGAGCTACTAAGTAAATAGTAGCTCAACAAATAGTCTTAAAAAAAGTAAATAGTCTTAAAATACTAACACTTTTACTATTTGTTTTATAAAGTTTTGAATGAATGATGTAAACAATTGGAACCAATCTAACCTAAATATTTTACAGTTGAGTTGGATATAGTTCACCATCTAATTAAAGTCAATTGGATTGAGTAAATTTGCACCCGAGTTCATAACTCAACCTATAACCCAACCTCAACAATGTTTTGGTTATAGCTCTTAGTTGGTGTAAATGTTTCTATGCATCTTTTTGTAATTATACTTTGATCGATCATTTGATGAGTTGGAAGGCCTCTTTGTAGCTCTTCTCCCTTGGGTCCTTTCACCTTTTGTATATTTCATCTTATCAATGAAATATGTGTTTCTAATTAAAAAAAGAAAAAAATCCTTTTCAATATTCTATTGTCATTTACCACCCTCATCACCACTATTAGATTGATGATTTGTTGCCTCTTATGAAAGAATTATGACTAGAAGAAATTTTTTTAAGGAGCACTTGCTTTAATTTCTTAGTTAGGAGTCTTGGTAAAAATTTCTATTTTCTAGTATACTCCCAAGAAGCTCGTGTTATGCTTGTATCTCTTACCTGAATTTTTTTCTTGTATATGTTTGCAGCTCGAAGGCCCCATCTACCACCAGTTCACAGTCCACCAGAATATAAAGATGGTATGTTTTCTCTACTTCGTTCAAGAATTTTGTGTATTACATGCTCAACCGCGCAGCACGTAGGTGACATGGTTTGTATGAGTATATGTGTGCAGTTATATATTTCTCTTTACTTTTAAAAGCAATTACTCAGTTTTCTATTGATTTCTGAAGAGGACTAACTAATGTTAGTTACTATTGATGATATTTAAAATATTCAAGCAATTGCTTTTTATTTTCTCCCTTTCCTTTTTGCTGTTTGGTTTACTCGTACGTTATCATCTGCAGGCTGGTGACGATTTTGGTGTTGACTTTGACTGGGACACTGAAGATGAGCTGGAAATTGAGAATATACCCTTAGCCTCTCATGCGAGTTTGACATTTCCTGGTGTAGAAGCAAATCTGGTATCTGGAGAGGTAAATGTCATGTCTACATTTGTAGTGATGTTTGTGCGTGTTGTGTCTTTCCATGCTTGATTGGTGATAGTTTACTTAAATTCTCTTGTTGGTGAAGTTGTTATCGATAAGGGTAATATATGTTTTATGATGCTGAACTATAAGAAGTAAAAATGGCGTTTTTTTTCTTAAAATAAATTTTAAATGTAATAATCAAGCAATATTTCATTTGTTTCAAAGCTGTGTTAGCTTTTGGTTTGTTAAAAAGACTGGATATGTATTATTTTGACGACATCAAGCTTAGACAGATGTATAGGATTTTGTTGCATAACTAACGCTAGTTTATTTTTTTCCCTCACGAAGGCAAGCTCATCTGCAGGTCCATCCAACTCTAAGATAGTTGATCATTTTATAGGAATGGGGTTTTCTGAGAAAATGGTTGCCAAAGTAATCCAGGAAAATGGTAACATTATTTTATTCGTTTATTTAACTATTTCTATAGAAAAATGAACATAATTTTTGTTCATTCAGAAAAAAGTTCAGAATTTTATTTTAATCTTAAAACTTCAAAAATTACTTACATAACTCTGTTTTTGATGGTCTATTCAGGAGAGGAAAATACCGATTCTATTCTTGAGACCCTCCTCACATTGTCGGTGAGTTTCCCTGATGATGAATTGCTAGGTTGTGAAAGTTAGTTTCTTGTAATTGTTTTGTTCACACGATATGCTTCTTTCCCATCGAGAGAATCCAGTCAATTTAAGTGAAATGTCTCATATGCGTAACATAGAATGGTAGCGTGTGAACTTTTATCTTTGTTAGTTATCTAAGTCTTTCTTTCTCATTCATGACAATTCATATTTTGTTGCCCTAATGAACTGGATTTTAAATGTCCCGGAGATTATTGAGATCTCAACCAGCTGTCTCGTAAGATATTTGAAGATCTTCACTATCAGTCATTATGTCCCCTTTTCTTGTACTTCTACCACTGATTAGCAACCGTCACTTACTCTTTTGTATGTATATACGTTGAATTCATTTCTTTTTCTTCTGGCAGGCTCTTGAAAACTCTCCTCCAAAACAGCAGCATATTGATACTGATGGCTCCTTTTCGGATTATGAAGGAAGTTTTCTGGATGATTTTACTGATTTAGACAGTGATTCTGAAAACGAGGTGGTTTGATTTTCTTTGGTTTCGTGGAACAGTTTGTTGTTTAATCATTTTGTGAACACGTGTCTTGTCATGTTCAGATAATTTTTTGATCCAATGCTTATTTCTCCTTGTCACTCAATGTTTCATGATAATTTGATCCATCATGTAGGGGACTGCAAAACCTGTATCTGATGTTGACAACAAAATGATGTTCTTGGTGGACATGGGGTTCTCTGAAGATGAAGCTTATGCAGCAATTGAGAGATGTGGTTTGTACCTCCTTCTAGGACTTGTAAATATAATAACTAAGAATTGACTTCTATGAATTTTTCTAAAACTAGTTGTATTCTTATAGAAAAGCTTTGATTAGAAGATTCTTCACAGATGTAGTATTGAAAAATTGCCTTGGGATAAGAAGATTCTTTCTTCTCCAAGCTTTGTGTATTGGTAGGGTAGGTTGTTGAAGATTTGATGGGAGAAAACATGGTTATTGCTAGACAATGTTTCCTTGATCATTGGTGATTCTTCCTGGAAGTTCTAATTTGTACCATGATTGGTAGATTTTAATCAAGCATTGAACGGATGGGAATTTTTACAGGTCTATGGTGTGAGGAAGGGAGATGGGCTCCTTTAAGTGGTCCTATGCCTTTCAAGTTTGAGAATGCAGTTGCAACTTTATTCTTTGAAGTTTGCTGGTGGAGGGATGGCCTAGTTCCTATTCCAGTTTTAGTTAAAATTGATCAAAAGTGGCATCAAAGCTTGGAATATACAGGATTCTGGAGACATGGTTCGCTATACCAGAGGATGATTTTGAAATTTTAATTGACTGAGGCGTGACGCCATACTTGGAGCAAAGGTGGCGTAAAGAATTCAAATAGAAGTGGCCTTGGGAGGGTGAAGAGAGCTCGTCCTTTTTCCTCCATAAAATTATAACGAAGGCAATGAGCATTATAGTCATATCTAAAATTTGCACTATGGTGTGTAGAAGACCTGTAAAAGAAGAAGCTAATAAGTTATTAACCATCTCCAACCAAAACCATTACACAAGAGAGGAGACCCCCCGTTTTTTGCTCAATGATTTGGAATGGAAACCTATACATATTTTTTAATTTTTAAACGAATTCAGATGGCTTGAATGCCTTTCCAAGAGGATGAAATTTCGCATGCAATTACAAAAATGGGCATTGGCAAATGGCAAGTTCCTAGGGCCGTATGGGTACATGACTCAGTACTTGGAAAAGGGTTGGAACATCATCAACAAGATTCTTAAGATGTTCTAAGATGGTATTTTGATCTAGTCTGTGAAAGAAGCTTATACTTTTCCTATTCCTAAAGGATCGACTTCCGTAGTGGCAGACCATCAACCAATTAGTTTAGTTACAAACTTTCTAAAGTTATTTCCAAGGCTTTGGTTCAAAGGCTGAAATACATTTTTTAACACTATCTCTTGTGATCAATCTGGTGGGGGAAGACAGGACTCTATCCTTGTAGCTAATGAAGTTGTTGATAAAGAAAAGAATGAAAGGTCGATGGTGGAGTTAGACCTTAAAAAAAGCTTATGGTAGGATGTATTAGGATTTCCTCACCGCTGTGCTTTAGACCAAACGTGTTTAAGAAGTGTGCTACATGGTTTATAGTGTGTATTGGATACTGTTTTCACTGTATTTATTGATGGAAATTGAGAGGTAAAGCTCTGCTTCAAGTGACTAAGTGGCCCCTTCTCCTTTCATTTTTTTGTTTTAGTGTGAATGTTGTTTTTTTTTTAATAAGAAACAAACAACTTGAATTCCAACACAAAACAAGTACAGCCTAAAGACAGAGGGTAGAGAAAACTCTCCCCGAGGATTAGGAACTATACAATCACAGCTTTCCAATCTTGTATAATCATTTGAAGACTATAATTACAAAAATCTTCTTGTGGATTGTAGCCCACCAAGAAGCCGTATGCTGTATATTCACACAAAGAGAATCCACCGAGGACTTCTTATCTTAAAAAAGTCTACTATTTCGTTGTCTCCAAAGTAACCAAAGTAAAGCTCTTGCAGAACAATTCCAAAGAATGAAAACTTTACCCTTAAGGGCCCTTCCCCCAAAACCTTTAGAAATAAAATCATCAATATTTTGAGGGAGACAAAAAGACACTTCCAATAAGGAAGCGAAGTGAAACCACACCGTAGAAGCCATCGGGCTGTGAAGGAAGAGATGATCAATTGACTCAGTTTAGTGTGAATGTTGTTAGTATAATGTTGGAGAGAGGGTGGTGCTTGGATTCTTTCTGGGATTTCATTGTTGGCAGGAACGAAGTCCATGGTGTAACCATCTCCAATTTGTTGAAGATACTGGTTTTTTGTCGAGAACTTGGAAAGGCTGGGATTATTAAAGTGACTATCGTGTTCAATTTCCAGTTATTTCCAGCCTATTACGTTTGTATTACATGTCATATGAATTCGCCATGGTATATCTGATCCATGCATATATCATAAAAAGTGGATACAAAATTTTTGGCTGCTGCGTCGTATCAGTTCTTGTGCCTTGAAGTATATTCCTTGAAATTGAGATAAAAAGGGGAGACTTATTTCGAGGTTAAGGGAAAACAAACGTTTAGTAGGGAGGGAGTTCTTAAGCCTTTGGAGCTCGGTGGTTGTGGGATTGAGAATTGAAGGAGAAAAACGAAGCTTTATTATACAAATGGGGGTGGATGTTTTCTTTGAAGAATTTACTGAGTTGTGGCGTAAGGTGGTGGGTAGCATTAGCGAGTAATATTGGCGGTTTACTACTCCTCGTAGAAAAGGAAGTTGTAGAATTCCTCAGTGGAACTAATGTTGGAATCGTGTGGAACATTTTTCAACTATTAGATTTGGAAGCGGGGAAATAACTTCTCGTTTTGGAATGATATGTGTGGATTGGAAATCAAGCTCTATCAATTAAATTTCCTTGTACTTTTGAGGTGGTTTTGAAATAAAGATACTTCAAAATTTAATTGTTGGGGATGGATACTCCGAACTTCTAAGATACTCATCAAGTCTTCCCTGATCTCCAAATCTCTGAACAAAGCTTGTTGGAAATCAAATAGTCCAGAAGAGGTAATATTTTACAATGGATTCTTCACAAGAAAGAAGGGAGCCTAAATACAGGTGAAAAATTATAAAGATGTCCAGCAGCTATTTTTCCAGCCTTCAGTATGTGCAGCGTACTTTGCTTCAAAGGCGGGATCTTTTCATTGCCCTTACAGCAGAAAATGATGGTTCCTGAATCTGTTTTAGAAGTATATTGGGTTTCTGAGTAGGATAATAGTTTTCAGTCTTTATGTGGAGTAAAGCTAGAAAGTAAGGCCAAGTTGTTATGAGTGAATGCCATTAAAGCAACCATTGCTGAAATTTTGTGTGAAAGAACCCAAAGAGTTTTAGTAGGAAAGTCCTTAGGGTGCAGTGATTTGGATGGACCATGGGTGTTAATTTAATATTTTTAGCCGACAAGAAAGTATTAGAACAATTGATTCACATGTATTCTCAGTTCAATACATGTTCATGAATCATTAATTTTGATATGCTGTCCGCAAAAGACTAGTTCCACATTTTCAAGCCAATTTTTGGTTTAGCATGCATAGGAAACGTACGCAATCTGAGAATCTTGCATTTAATGTAGTGGAGCTATTAGCGATATCTTCTGTTCCTCATTTTACTGTGTTGCCTACACTTTTTGCTTCATATCTATTAATGCTTGAAAGTTGTATTAACTTCATTAATTTATTTGTAGGCTTATTAGTTGGATTCATGATTCTAATTCGGGTGTTTTTGTGACATCTTTTTAGTTCTCCCTGTAGTACTTCATTTTATGTTTTAGTTTTTTCACTCTTCTGAGAGACTGTATCTTTGAACAATTTTGTTCATTTTCATTATTTCAATGAGAAGTAAATAATAAGTTCGTTTCTTGTTAAAAAAAAAAAATTGGATTCATGATTCTTGATTTTCTACTATTTTTGGGGCCTGAATCTGATGTTGAAACGAAATTTCGATCTGGTTGTCAAAATTGCAGGTGTGCATTCCTCACTTGCAGAGCTGACAGATTTTATAACTGCTGCTCAAATTTCAAAGGATGCAGATGTTCTTCTTGGGGAACTTCCGGATAGGGTAACTTTTCTGTCTTTTCACATTCTTGAATCTAAGTTCTAGGCATTGTTAAGGAGAAGAAACTGCGCTTAGACGTGACATCATTAATGGAGACCTCATCACATTGATAATTTCATTTCAATAGAACATGTTTTTGCTTGATTATTTGAGCAGCCGAAGCCGAAGAATCTCAATGGCTGCAAGCTAAAAAAGAGAAGGCATTATGAATACGAGGCATGGAAAAAGAAAAAACCGAAGTGCTTCGACGACGACGATGAGACAATTCGTCTGCCAAACCCAATGATCGGGTTTGGGGTTCCCAATGATCTATGCGCTACATTTCACAGAAAGCTTCCAGAGACAGCCATTGGACCTCCCTACTTTTACTACGAAAACGTGGCACTCGCTCCAAAAGGAGTTTGGAGTACAATTTCCCGCTTCTTGTATGATGTCGAACCAGAATTTGTTGATTCCAAATATTTCTGTGCTGCTGCAAGAAAAAGAGGCTATGTTCACAATCTCCCCATAAATAACAGATATCCTCTTCTTCCTCAGCCTCCCCACACTATACATGAAGCATTTCCTCTAACAAGGAGGTGGTGGCCCTCATGGGATACAAGAACACAATTAAATTGTTTACAAACTTGCATTGGAAGTGCTCGACTGACCGATAGAATTCGCAAAGCTCTTGAAGATTATGATAGCGAACGTGATCCGCCATTATCTGTGCAGAAGTTTGTCTTAGATCAATGTAGAAAATGGAATTTGGTTTGGGTTGGAAAAAATAAGGTTGCCCCCCTCGAGCCCGATGAAGTGGAAATGCTTCTGGGCTTCCCCAAGAACCATACTAGGGGTGGTGGAATTAGTAGGACAGACAGATACAAGTCTCTTGGCAATTCCTTCCAGGTACCAATCTCTTCATTCTATTATGTGTGCTTTTTTTAATAACCCGGAATCGATAGCTATTATCTTAGACCTCTTTGAATTTCTTTCGGAAGATGATTGCTTACTGCATGAACTGCATTAAACTGGGATATCGAGAGTCCCCTTCGGGCATTATACTCGTGTCCCTGGGGAGGTTCTGCCCACCCAAATCCAGTTTAGGTGGCCACATGCTCCTAACACTCACGACCCGATGCCAGTTTCGATTGTGTTTTTCACGTGCATTATGTTGATTTGGTTGTGACATCCTACGAAGTAGTTGCCTACATCTTATCGTTATTTCAGGTCGACACCGTGGCATACCATCTTTCAGTCTTGAAGGACATGTTCCCAGGAGGAATAAATCTCCTCTCTCTGTTTTCTGGCATTGGTGGTGCAGAAGTGGCACTCCATCGCCTAGGTATCCCTCTTAGAAATGTCGTCTCTGTCGATATTTCGGAAGTAAACCGAAACATCGTTCGAAGTTGGTGGGAGCAAACGAACCAGAAGGGGACTTTGATTGATCTTGCTGATGTGCAAGAGCTAGATGCAGATAGGTTACAACATTTTATGAACTTATTTGGAGGTTTCGATCTCGTAGTCGGAGGGAGCCCTTGTAATAACCTTACGGGTAGTAATAGGTACACTAGGGACGGACTCGAGGGCAAAGAGTCCATCTTGTTTTACGACTACTTTAGAATCTTAGACTTGGTCAAGTGTATAGCCACCAAAACTGAATGATTTGGTTGTAAAGGAAGCCCTCAATCTTTCTGCAGTCAAGAACATGCTATATTTTATAGAACAAAGTAACCATGTTAGTTTCAGTAAATAATTAACTGTTGAAAGATGAGGCTTTTATAATTATTATTATATCATATCATTATTTGGCCCTTCTAGCTTGGCTTCTGTTGTTGAATCTCTATTGTACACTATCATTACATGAATCAAGAAAACTGCCCAAGCAGCAGAGATTAAGATTTATTATGATTTTTGAGCCATGAATTACGAGTTTATTTCTAATTGGTCTCTGAATTTTTAAACGTATTTAATGGGTTCATGAACTTCTTTTTTTTCCTTTAAATAAATAATAAGTTCATAAACTTTCAATTCAAGTTCGAGAACTTTATCCTCTCGTTAGCATTTATTAAAACAAACCTGTGGATCTATGAGTTTTTTTTTTTTTAAACATTTTACGCCCTCGAGGGATTTGTAATATGCTTATTCGTATGAAATGTTATTGATTTTAAGAGGAAGACCTATCACATTATTTTCTGCAGAAATTAATTGAAAATCAAAAGAAAAGAATAATAATAAGAAGTGTTAATGAAAACATGAAGATTTTTTTTTTCTTTTTTTTTTAAACTTGGAGTCATAAGCTTTGCTCTCCTGTATCTAGGGGTATTTACCAGCAAAATTCAATCTTTTTTGGGGTAGTGTTTTAAATATAGTTTTTCTTTCATGAAAATTTTGATTTTCAAAATAATGTTTAAAAACACTTTTTAAAATAAAAAGAAGAAACAGATACGCAATTGTGTTTTTTTCTTTAATTTATTCTCGATTTTATTTTACCTTTAAAAAGTTTTTTTAGATAATAATGTTCAGGTTTAAATCATAGGAAAGTACTTGAACTTTAATGCGTATATACAACTTAAAACCAAAACTTAAATGGTTATTTAGTTTTAAATTATGATTTTAGTTTTTGAATTCTCGCAACAATTTATCTTTTTATATTGTGGTTATTTAGTCCTCATAATTTAAAGAGATTTCATTTTGTGTCTTTTTGACAAGTTTGAAATGATGAAATAAGACTAGATAGACAATGAGTATTTTAAAAATTGTGTTATATTTCTAAATTTTTGTTTAATTTGGGCTAAATTTAGTATTTTGAGTCATATTGTTATATGTATAGTTACTTCTATATTCAATACGTTGTGTTAATAATATAGGAGGTTTTTTAGGATTTGATTAAGATATAGAGCCCATATTGAAACTATATTCAAACTATGTATTTTAAAATCTTAAAATCATATAGCCCAAATTAAAGGTAAGTATCTTGGACTAATTTTATCCATTATAATAATGTTTTTAAAATTTAACTTCAAAATTTAAATGCCAATACACTTCTATCCCTTCTCATATTGTTTAAGAAAACATTTTAAGAGTAATATAAAATTGCTTTTAGAAAAAAAGTTAGAAGTATTTGAAGTAATTTATGATAAAAAATTTATTGTGTTTTCAGGCAAAGTATTTAAGAAAAACAATTTTAAGAGTGATAAAACAAACACTAAATAATTTTTTTTTTAAAATACAACAGGCAGAGTGGAGATTCGAACTCACGATTTTTGGTGGTGTATAAGTGCCTTAACCAACTAAGTTATACTCAAATTGACTTTAAAAGCACTCGTAACTTTAATGTTAAAAAACATTTTTGATCCTTATAATATTATTAAAATAAGGATTTAGTCCCTAATTTTAGTTCATAACAATTTAGTTCTCATACTTTTAAATTGGTAATAATTTAATCCTTATAGTTTAAAGTTTGTGATAATTTGGTTCCTATCATGAAAAATGTTTATAAGATTTAATAAGGATCGATAAACTGGTGAAAAACCAAGTCTATTTATAAATGCAAATACTAAATCATTATATTATAAAAACCGAACACTTAATTTTGTTGAGGATTTTCATTCCATCATAAGATTTAAACTCATTCACTCTTAATTAAACCTAGTCTATTTGGACTAATAAGCCACTCATCATGGTTCACCCACATTTTAAATTACAATCATATTTATGAAATTTCAGATCTAATTTTAACTATTTTGATACATAAACGAGCATAGTTTAGTAGCAATTCACATATATTTCCAATAAATTAAAAAAAAAGAAAAACTATTTTGATAACAATCCTGATTTTTGAAACATTGCCAAACATTATTTGAAGGAAAAAGTGTATATTCCAAAAAGAATAAAAATTCATATAAATTTAACCAGCGTTGGGGTTAACTTAACCATGGTTAGGGTGAACGCGGTTATCGCAGCCAAACCTCCAGTTTCTATAAATAGCAATCGATTCCCAAAAATTCCGCTCCTTCTTCTCTCTCTACGCTTCTCTACGTTCGGAAGCGTGGTAGAGAGATAACACATCGCTAACTCGGCGTTTTCCGCTCCGTTTTCCCCACTCTGCCTCTTTTTTCTCAGGTAACGATCCTAATCTCCCGAATTTCCTTTCTGAATTCGCAGATCTAGCGGTTTTCGTTTCCTTTTTCGTGATGTTTTGGTGGTTTAGGGTTGCGTTTTTTCTGGGTTTCCTGTTTAGGCCGTTTATTTGGTCAGAAATTGTGTACAATGGATGAATTAATGTTGCATGTGCGATTTTATTGCTCACTTCTTAATGGGTACCGGAGGATTTGAGGCTTCGTATCCGTTTTGAGTTCATTTTCATCTTCATTCATCTACAATTTAGACATAGGGTGTACGATTTCGCGTGATTGCATTGCTCTTTTCAAGGCCTCAACCCGTTTTAGCGCTTGGCAGAGGCTTCGAGATAGGTAAATCTTGAGTCCTTTCGTGCTTCAGCTCGGGATTAGGATTCAGGTTTTTTGGTGGGTTGAACTTTTACAAGATTATCTGTTTTCTAAAATGATGTTTATGTGTATCTACTTTCTATCTCCATCGAAAGAGAATAGATTCGGTGTTTATTGAAGTATTTTAGAAGATACTAGTTGATTGTGCAAGCTCGATGGTTATATCATTTGGAAACCTAGTGTTTCTTCGTTACAGTGGAGCCCGGGGGGTAATTCTAGTCTTGTAATCGTACACTTAGTTCAGAATGTTTTCCACAAGTTCTTGAAGAATTATTTTTTTTGCGTGCAGTCATGGTTTGGTATTATTGAAGTTCATAATGATGAAGGAAAATAAAAGTTCGTAGTTGTTTATATGAGGTTTGCATAGTATTCTCATCTTGTTCTTTGTTTTTTTTCCAGTCATTGAGTTGGATTTTCTGTTCCCTGTTATGGCGGCTACTGCAACTGCTGTTTCTGTTGGACCACGATATGCACCAGAGGATCCAACCCTCCCCAAACCATGGAGAGGTTTAGTTGATGGAAAAACAGGATATCTTTACTTTTGGAATCCAGAAACTAATGTCACTCAATACGAGAGACCTGTGGCCACTGCTCCACTAAATTCATCTATAGTGTCCATAAGTTCTTCAGTTCAAATTCAAAAGCCATCCTCAGGCAACTCTTATAGCAATAATTTCAATGAAAATAGTGATAAGTACGGAAGAAGTGCCCATGGGGCATCCAAACACGAGGTAGAGTCAATAACATAAATAGTAGTACGCCTTTTCAATTTTATTTAAAATAAAAAACACATGGTCTACATCCTACACCGTATCAACTCTATTGGAGTGTTAAAACTTCTAATTTGTTAGTATCTCTATATCCTCTTGCTAATGAGACATTTAAGGCCTACTAAAACCTATTATTTTTTCGTTAAAAGGGTTTTCCTTTGTTTCCTTGGGCTTCTTTGCTTGGCATAAAAAATAAATTTATTTGGGAAATTATCATTACATGCTCATCTCGTTCAATTTTTTGTTTTTTCTTTAGAATGAGTTATATCATCATTTTTTGGTTCTACTTTTGTATTCTTACTTTCCATCTTTCTTGCCAGTGTCTCTGTAATATTTTATATGGTTGAAAAAAATCAACTGAAGTTTATAAATTTGAACTGAAACATTTTGTTGAACTCATTTTTGGAATTTTATGTTTCATGACATAAAAAAACTTCAGGAATTTTGATCAAACATATAAGATGTGAATACGGAATAATTTTATGTTCCCAATCATGACTAATGTGACCCAATTTTACATCAGGCAGCAAGGGCTGAAACTTTTCATTCACATGATACATCAAATGGAACGCCTAATACTGGGCATGGAGGAACGTTGTTGAAAGGACATAGACCATCAGATGCAGGGAGTGGATTATCTACTGAGGCTTATCGTCAGCGGCATGAAATAACTTTTTCAGTGAGTGCTAATTTAGAAGTCTTTGAAATGCAGCCACCGAAACTTATTTTCCATTTTTTCTTAGAGCTAATTAGGGTTTTTGCCCTTTTCTAATTCAGTTATCCTCTTTAAATTGCATCTATACCTAAACGAACACAAATTTCTTGATGTTCATTATATTTTTTAATAGTAGAATTGATCTTTCTGTTAATTCTTTTCCTAGGGAGATAATGTGCCTCCACCATATACGTCATTTGAGGCCACCGGTTTCCCACCTGAGATTCTTAGGGAGGTATTATTTTCCACATTGTTCTATGCTTTTGTTGATTTCAATCTTTACAGAATGGTCAAAGCTGACAATTCAGTAAGAATGCTCAGCTATATAAAACAAATGTTTCTGCTCAAAGTTCAGTGGTTGCTGGGGTCATGTTAATTCTTTTTGTCACCTGTACTTTTTTGTCGCAGGTGCGATATTTGCTCCTGGGAGGAGCTAATGTCGTACGCTGTGGTGCCCTCTTTGTTGGGGGCTTGCTTTAATTTGGAGTTCCCTTTTATGGTGGACCAATTTCTGGGAAGGGCTTTCCGAATCACCCATATTTGCAGCCGGGACTGCCGTTGGTGATGATTCAGTCTGCCACTAAGAAGGGCTCTACAAAAGAAGAGGCCTCCTCCTTCTGCAGCTTGCAATCAGCAAGCATTGGCCGCATGCATATGGGGGATGATGCTTCTTCTGGAATTAGCGTATTCTTCTAAAAATCAAAAATGAAAACCAACCAGATATTTTGAAGCCTCTTCTGCTTAATAGGGGTGACTTTTCCAGGTACAAAATGCAGGGTTCTCTGCTCCAACTCCAATTCAGGCGCAGTCATGGCCAATTGCTCTTCAGAGTAGAGATATTGTAGCTATTGCTAAAACTGGCTCTGGAAAAACTCTTGGGTACTTAATACCAGGTTTTATTCATCTCAAGCGCAGTCGCAATGATCCTAAGCTAGGTCCTACTGTTTTGGTGCTGTCACCAACAAGGGAGTTGGCAACACAGATTCAAGATGAAGCTGTGAAATTCGGAAAGTCATCGAGAATTTCT